AAAGTCTGAAATGTAATTCTTATGAAGTTTGAACTAGTTTAATGTATGTGTTATAATGGTCGAGTTGAATTTATGAACAGTAAGTAGTTTGCTGAACTGAGTACCTGCAGTGTTCATTGTAAAAGACAAGTCAAGAAGATGTGACAAAGTGTTGTGTTTGACTTCAGTTATATTATATAATCATAAAAGTGTCGTGTTTGACTTAAGTTATATTTTATAATCATAAATTGGTTGGATTAAAATGGCGTTTGGGAATACTAATTGTCGTCGGGAACAACTAGGATCGGCGATTATGTAGTTATTTACCCATAAGATGGACCGATCAAGTAAGAGACTCATTTTTCATACTTTTAATGTATCCGTTTCTTATATTTCTCCAGTGGCGACAGTGAGAGGGAGTTTCAGACTCCTTCTGACTAAAAACTATTCTATAATCACACTGCATTTCATACTAATCTTACAATTTACATTTTTAGCTATATTCAGCTGGCATATTAGACAAAAGGATAGCCGAATATTAAAGTTGAATATAAAAAAAAAACATATTTATCTTTCGATTGTGAATTCTTAGTTTAGAACGCTCGTTACTTATAAGAACATAAAATATCACCCTAGAAATACCAAATATAAACTTAAAATATGTGTTTAATGTATTCAAAACAGATCTGGCTCTTGCCACGAACAAGCGCACCAATAAAGTTCCTAAAACCCCCGAAATTAAATTCAAAATAACTTTAAAATTCACCATCACAAAAGCACACTGAGAGTCGTTAAACCAGTTCAACCTCAAACTATAGCTAGCTGAACGAAACTTTATTTTACGTTGAAGCAACGACAATAAAAGCTGGCATACTGCAGCGACACGCCTGACGGCACTTCCGACGTTATCTAGACATAGATGAATGTGCTCGAGATTGTTTCTCTACTATTACTTGCATTACTTATCGAGCCGAGTGCCAGTTCAAGTTTAATTTCATGCTGCTCAACTTTCCAATGAATGCTTTTTTATTATATTTCTTTCTTCGCCAATCCTGTCGCAGATGAAAATTGATAAAAGTATGTCTTTATGCTATTTGGATATAGAGAAATCTACTCCAAATTATCTGTGTCTATGTGCAGATGGCGCCACTTTCGTTTTAGATCGATTGCTGTTAGAAGATTTCTTTTAAATTTGCCTTTCAGGGTACTTTTAAAGTTCCTTTAGGCAAAGAGACATTAGGTGCACTAGGACGCGGTGCATCATTGAGTAGCTCAATGATGCACCGCGTCTCAGCTCGGATGGTGCGAGTTGGATTTTAGTCATTAAGGGTCTGACACATCCTCTCGCCCTACCCAGGGCGGGACCTGACTTACTGTTAGAAGGTCTATATAAACCTTCCTCTTTAATCACTCTACTAAATAAGCAGCATCAAAATGCGTTGCGTAAATATGTCATATATGTATATGTATATGCGTGGAGGTGGCTTCCCTACTATTTCTTGCATTACCTTTATAGCTGAATGCCAGTTCAATTTTATGCTGTTTAACTTTCCAATGAATGTATTTTATATTTCTTTCTTCAGAAATTAATTCTTGCATAACAGATACGATAATTAACAAAACAGTGTCTGTGTTCAAACATAATGGTACGTGTTCGAGAATATTTGTGTTTAAGTTAAAGTGGCGCCACTTTCTTTTAAAATCGTTTTCTAAAAGAAGTTTTCTTTTATCTTGCATAATAATATTTATTATGTCATTTGCTAACCTTTCCGAAACGATGATGATGTTAAGGCTGGATAATGGACATGTTTAGTACTCATAAACTCAACAAATTGAATATTTATCTGAGAGATACATTATTATTTAGAGTAATTTCTGACCTTTATTTTATTCTGATAATGTAGACAAAACAGTTGATACAAGCTAGTATGTCATTAATTCAAAAAACACTTTTTATACCGTCTCTAAAGCAATTGCGAATAAAAAGAATACATAACTCAAGAGGGTTGTTAATAGTCCTATCAGCAACGAACAATTCTTTCATATAACATGTGTGAGTGTGAACAGCTGTCGCACTCTTTTGTTTTCCCTCTATTTCCACGTCATTACCAGAATAAATAAATAAGGGAGCAACGACCTAGCCTTTACGTCTGTTTCAACACCTTTATATGAGTTAGCGATAAACTTATGTGGGATAGTCCATACAAATTAAGTTCTATATTCAAATTGATCTGAAATAAATCATCAGCTCTTTCGTTATTCATAATCTTTAGTTTTCCAATCAAAGTTTACAATTAAGTAATTTATCCTAATTAATCTATTATACAACTCAGATGAGTAATAATTCATTCTTATTTTGTAAAAAGCGATCACAACCTTTCTTTTTAACAATTCTATTAACTTCTTAAACACAAAAAAAAAACAAACCGATACCCTGGCATATACACAACGAGTACTTTAAAATAAAAGTTAACACCATAATGAATTTTAAAACTTGACAATAGGAATCTGGAATACGCCAAGTATAAGGCAAAGTTTAGTTAGAGTACTACCATTCCATGATAGTAAAATGGCTGAAGTTTTGCGTCGAGTACTCAAAATGTCTTTATGATTCCCTCAGACATTGTAAATTGATAATATTTATTTTGCATCTTCTACCCACTGCATGCGCTTAACACGGAAACATTTTTCAGAAATACTTGTATTTTGTGTTAACTTTAAAATAAAAATACATGGTTTTATTTGAAAAATTTTTGTAAACTTTTTAAATCTTTCTTCTTAATCTTTGTATGTAAACCTTTAACATTTTACCATCAAAATGGTCAAGTTTCTAAGTTATTTAGATGAATATTAATATTTGTATGGTTGTGAGAAAATACGAACTAATATTATAAATGCAAAAGTAACTCTGTCTGTCTGTCTTTTCTTCACGCTTAAACTACTGAACTTATTTGTGTGAAATTTGGTACAGACGTAGTTTGGAACTCGAGAAAGGACGTAGGATAGTTTTGAATCCGAAAATCTGCTAGTCACTACACCACGCGAACAAATTCGAGGGCAAAAATTATCTAAACACAATATGGTGAAGAAAATTTTCATGAAGCAAACTGGTCTTGTAATTTGAAATTTGAAATGGCAAATCTGCCTTGAGCGTGGTGATTAATGCTGAATTCCTTTCTATAATAACATTTTACAATACCATAACTATGTCATCGTCACACCCTGTTGCACTTAGACCGATAACCACAATTAAGTATTTATAGACAATACAAAAAAAATATCCAAGTCGTTATGCCATTGTCAATGTGAAAAATTTCCTCTCAACTCAAAGTTTGGTTGATGATGTTATTACTCGAGTTTACTACGTGCAGTGGGTTCGATGTTATGGGAGAGATAAATTTTATAGAGGTCTTCAAATGAGTCAGTTCGGAAGCGAGCAAATTGTTACGATCTTACCGGGAGTTTGTAATTAAGGGATGTTTAGACAGACAGCAATGCAAATATTTGAAGGGTGTTTAAAGTTTAGTATTGTGTATAAAAGCTAATTTTAGACCCTTTATGAGTACCTAAGGAACTTACTCTGATCAAATTATAATTTTATGAGCCTCGTACTGGAGACAGATGTTAAAATATACAGAAAGAAACAAAACGTTTATTAAATGATGCCAAAGTAAGTATTTTCCGATAAAATTGTCAGTAAACAAAATATTGTCCTGCAAAGTATTCACGGGCAAATATTTCTTCAGTCCCAAACTACCTTACAATTTGGCGAAATATCAATAACTTGAGGCACTTGTAAGGAGAATATTTCCGGGTACGTGCACTTTCAACACAGTTTATATCTATTTGGCAATAAGTCGACTTTTCAATAGCGCCGTCTGCCGAACATAACGAGATTTTTACTACGGTAGTAATAACTTGATCGAATCTGGGACGATTGTACAGGATCGAAGCATCGAAATCATATTAGAAAGCGTTTCCAATTTTATTATCACATTTTACGACAATATTCATTTCCATCGAACAACAAAAATGTAAATAATAAGTATCTGTGGGTGCATGTCTATTTTTGGCTGTTTGGCGGAAATTGTGGAGTATTTTTGGATCATGGATTAAATTAAGCTCTTTCGTGGGTGTTGTTTTTCTTATTTATGATTTTTTATAACCCAATATCCGACTTGTAAAATAGAAGTAAGTACATTGATTTATGTATGTTTTATATTGTGTTGTAATCTTTAATTAGAAAATTTTCATGTTTCTTTAGTAGAAATAATAATTGAAGTGACGTTTTTTAATTTTATTTCCACTATGTAGCCAACGATTGTTAAACTTTTTTATTGAATTCCAAATGAAGCTATAACTGTAAGTGCTACTTAAACTAGTTTGAAATTAATTTTAGTTCGTAAAAGGTACCTTGCCAACTTTATTTTCGATAATACACCACATAATATGTAGGTTCTGATAAGATATAATTTATTCTTAGGTTGTAGAATGTAAACGCACTCTATTAATTTCTCTGTATTACAAAAAAAAATTCATCTTTCCGATATTGACGCTGAATACTGCAGTTTGTAATTTCAATAAATTAAGACGAAAATTAACGGCATAGTTTGTTTAAATATTAAATTAAATAGGATATTATAAACAGTTGTATAATGAAGTTATAATTAATCATTTTATATAGTTATGTCTCGTAAATGCATTTTTCTTTCAAAGCTCTTCAGCATCTTTGTCGTTGCATTAAATTATTCATGCAAGAATTCTTTTTATCATACTAGATCGAAAGGAAAACGAAAGAAATGCTTTCTATACTTGTGATTAACAAGAAGCAATAAAGGAAAAATGTATCACATATTCATATTACGAATACAACACCAAGCAGTTCTTCATCATTGAATGTTGGTTGTTAAGTATTTTGCATCCTCTAAACTTTTAGAATCGCCGTTACCTTACTTCGCTTCAAAACTTCACATATTTTCCTAAATGTAACTCCATATTTCAAATTAATCTCATCTACTTACCCATAATCATCTGACTGGCCGCAGTCAACAGCTTCACATCATTGTTAGCTTCTTGAGTTTCAAGCCTGACAGTGACATTGAGAGGATCTAAGGTCTCGTCTCCAGCTCTTCCATGAAGAGTCACCAGGATAGCTGTTGTTTTTCCTGGTACTGCTACTTCTGGTGCCACGACTGAGAAGCCCCTGTAAAGAAAGAAAGATTTGAGCTATTTTTCAAATTCATCTCATGGTCTTCTTAATTGTATTAGTTAAATCATTAAGTTGAAGGTCATTGAACATACATAAATACCTAAATGCATACACGCAATAAAAAAGAAATTGATTTGCACTTGAAACAGTATTTTTTTATTTTGTAACACAAAATCGATGAGTTTTTATTTTTTCGGAAATCGTCATGCATGTCACGGTCCATTTTTACGAGTGTGTCGCAAAACAATATTTTACGGTATGTATTTCCATTCCAAAATAAATCTCTCGCACTGAATCAACCGCAATCTGATTTTGACAACTGGCCAAATTCTCATCAACAAAAACGAAATAAAATTTCTCTCGTAACTGTAGGCAGCCAACTAGGTACAGTAAGTTCCCATCGACGTAAAAGTCAAACATTGAACAACATAGGTCAACAAAATTCAATTCTAAGCGTAGGGAAATATTGAAAACTCTCCAAACCAAAGTCTGCATTGCGACAAATCGGTTGGACACGTTCGAATTATTGTATTTTCCTACGTGTGCACAGAATACTGAATATTGTTTGACGAAACCGTTCGTGCTACATCCTGTTTGAGCGCAAGAACGCCTACGTCTGTTTGAGTTCCCTGATACTGTTTAGTTAGTTTTAAACTATGCACTGAGATGTTCATTATTGTTTGCATCGAATTGTTGGTTTAAGCTTGCTCTGTTCCACGTTCTAAATTTTCTCATTTCCGTGCATCATTGCAATTATTTGCAGCTGCTTCTAAAGTAATTGGTTTTTCATTGATTCGCTTATTTTTTTTCTCTTTATGAGGCTCTAATTTTCTTAACACATGTACAGTATTTATATTTGCCGCATCGTGTTAGTATATACTCCGTGTCATCCGGTGTTATGTCATAATAGAGGAAAGGAAGTACAAATAAATATGATAGCAAGAGGGAATGTTTTGTCTTTCGTGTCATTTTTTTATTTGCTAGACGAATGGCTCCATAATGTCTACATTTGATAAGGGTTAGTCGATATGTCGTGCACACGTGATGGCTGTGTATCGTAAGAGACAATATTTTATGTATTTTTCCAAACAAGTAAACTGAAAGAAGCTTACAAAGTATTAAATGCTATGAATAACATAAAAGGAAAGATATTGTAAAAGCAATGTCGACATTTACGTGCTTCACTAGGCAATGACGCCACATGAGGTATTCTTTGAAGGCATAATGCTGAGAACAAGTTGTCCTCCTCATGATTATATGTGTCAATTACATAATGATGTTAACATCATAAATGATATTAACATTCGTACAAAAATCATGACACTTGAAACAATGCAATCAATGAGGAAAAAAAAAGTCGTGTAAAGTGCTCTTCCTAACATTCGTCCACCGCACTGTCCAAGTTGAACGACCAGAGCGTCGCTTACTCAACTTAAAGTCCAAATTCACAAATAACTTTAAAACATACACCTGTATATATGTTGCATTCAATTTAAACATGTGTAAAACAGTCCATGTGAAATGACATCCAAAGTCCAGGCGAACTAAGTTAGAACGAACTGCGGTACGGATAGAACTTATTTCTAAACTAGTGTACCGTGGTTACGGTGCAAGTTGCTTGTTTTATTTGTATGAGCAGACGTGTGACTTAGAACAAAAGCTTTACGACGACCTATCCTCATGTTAGTATCTAAAAGCAACGACTTTTCTTCCATCTTGTAATTAGTATTCTCTTGATTTCTGCGTCGATGTAATGTTTAGCTGTTGTTGATTAAAATCCAACTTAATGAATCATTTAAACGTAAACCAATTCTCGATAAAAATTGAAATAAAATTAATGCACATTATGAATTGTCACAGTCATCAGATTTTTACGAATGATCAGTAAAATCTATACAGATGTTGACTTTTTGTTTCGAGTAAAAAATTGCAAATTCATGAAATGAGAGATACAATTATTTCATCCCAAATCTTTCTCTAATCATTGTGGCACAGTTCTGAAGCACCGTAGAATGGCATAATTAACGGTACCTCGTCTAGAATGTCAACATTATCCACAAATTCTTCTTCGGCATTCTAGTCACGTTTTGGTGCGAACGAAATTAATTACTTCCTGAAAGGTGACCGGCTACGTCGTAATTAGTGGGGGCAAAAGAGAGCCGAGTAGCGTCATTATCAAAAAAGTTTATTAGAAAATTATATTACCTGAGTTCCCTATTGATCTCGTGGTCGTTAACGTAGTTGCTGTAAAAACACGTGCCAACAATTTATTTTTGGATTTCAATCAAATTTTCTCAGAAATTTTGTAAGTTCTTCTTTAATTAGACTTATAAATTAGTGGGAAAATTTTATTTGAGGTATAAACGATAGGCCATCTGATGTCAGTCCAAAAGATTTGGCTTCTTTAAAAAAAAATACCAACGTGGTGTTATGACACCAATGTGTAAAAGAACTACGAATGAAGCAGAATCTTTATATCTGTTTACAAAAAAACTCAATCCCGTCGGTCTGGCTACGGCCACAAAAACACTGTATGTGGCGGCATGTACATACTTTTGGAACGAATTCGAATAACAAAAGGCTCGCAAATGGACACTTGCCAACGCTCATTCCGCTCAATCGATACGAATCGCTCTACAAAAGATTGCTTCTCTCAATTTCTCAGCTTCGTATAAGCTAGACGTTCCTAAACTTATAGCTTTTTAATGACCATCTTTATATTCACAGATACTCACTTGTGAATTTTTATTCTTTTCAATTTCTTTGTACCCAAAGTTTTTGGGGTCAGATTTTAGTACAAAGATTTGTTGGACTTTACGTTAGCAAACCTGTGAAATCTCTTTGACGGCCACAAAACAAAGAGATAGGTTTTCTGTGGAGTTTTACTGGACTGGTCTGATTTTATTTGAGTTGGATTTTAGAATGGACATGTTTATTTTGTGAAATTTTTTGAAGTATGTTTTAGAATTGGCTTATCACTGTAGAATAGGCTACATTTTGAGTTGAATTTTAAGACAAGTTTTTCACGCGCAAGCTAATCTTTTTATTTAGAAATCTTTACATAACATACATAAAAAAACAATTAGTATAAAAAAATGGTAACTGTTTACTTTATTTATAATTTCCTTTGTAATATTTGAATTGAAAATGTAAGAATCAAGTTTAAAAATAAATATGAGATTATCAGCCAGTTTTACGAAAATATTTTTTATGTTATTATATTAATCATATACATAACAATTACTTCCAATTATTTATACAATTTAATTATCTTTAAAGCAAGCGTCGTTGTACAAGTAGTAGCAAGCTTGCGGCAACATTTTTATTTCCCGAAAAACAAAACAAACCCTTCAGTATAAGTAGGTACAAGTCCGGCGGAAAAGTGGTGTGCGATCGTGACTTCATTGTTGGCAGCCGATACTTGATGCGGGTCGAATCGAACCGTTGCAAATAAATAGGAATGGTAATGGCTCATACGTGATATCCAAACCTAAGGAAAAATCATTCTGTCAAGAATATTTAAAGGTTTCTGGGTGTTTATGAAGAGGGTTGGCTTTCAACCGTTTGTGGTTTGTTTAAATATACTATGCAAGTTGTATTTGGGTCGCGAAACCTTTCAAATATTAAGGGTACATATATGATTTATCTTTTTATTCGAGGGTTGAATTTGGTTGACATTTATTCGAAGTTAAGGGTCTTTTGGTGGATATGGCGCCATTGGTCAAGTGATTGTATACAATTTAGGGGCTGACGAAAATTGTTGTTGGGCTTCCGTTGGAAAAATACTAAAATGATGTTTGGAAATGGAATATCGATTTTTTTTGATCATTCTCTGATTTTAAACCCATTTTTTTTTTCAGAAAGAAATTCCTTTAAGGATTTGCCGTACCGTTATACCTCTTTTGTTTTGTATGTATTGTTCTGAATATGTGTAATTTGTGTGCATAAATGATTAAATGAAATAGAAAAATCAAATGAATTATATAATTAATTTTGTCGTATAAAAGTGCCGTTTTATGGCCTATTTGCAAAAATAAATTCATTGTTTCATTGCCAATTTAAGAGGGATATAACTAGTGGCATTCAGTCTACCTAAATAGTGACATAGATGCGGCGATGCGAACCTAAAACAATGTAGGTACACATTGTTCGCGATGGGGTGAACCGCTTGTGTGTAAGTACCGTGGGAGGTCGCAGTTTTGGTCGCACTATTGTCTGTATAGGCCAGGCTCCAACCACACTCTGGTGACAGCCGTCGGTAGACAAAATTTTAGAACGTGGAAATGTTTTGCAATCAGGTTTTTGCTGTTTTTGTGCAGCTGTCTATTTAGTTAAAGTATAGCTATTTGCTATCACTTATTCATTACTCACAAAACGTGCTTTAATATTTTTAATCATTTCAATTTTACAAAGTACCTACTAAGCTTTTTTGACCAGTAAGGGGCATCCAATCCATGAAAACCATGCCCTATAACAAAAGCATTTTTAATTTGGTGCATTCTTTCCTCAATGGACAGTCCCCAATTTTAATTGGAGTCGCGATATCTGGACGTTTATTTGTTAGGAAGTATTTTTTTTAGAAACAAGAAGATACGAATCTTCTTTTGTCTGTTGCCAAGCAAAAATATGTTATACCTTTGTTAAGATAAGGTACTAAACTAACAAAGCAATGTAGTTATCACTCTGAGAATATTTTATGTGCCTGTCCACACTTATTTTTGTAGTATCATACATTTTTGGCATCAGCTTATCTATGGGATGATGCCAAGCTCATGTTTTCTTCTTTTTTGTTCAGAACATTGAGTTTTTAAATTAATTTAAGCTAGAGAAGTTCAGTGCCTTTAAAATGTAATTTAATAAAACAGCTGCACTTTTAATTTAACTTTTGAGTTTGCATTTTTCCAAGGCGATATAGATAAATGGCAGCTTATGTTAATTTTTAGAGGAAAACTGTTTAATAGAATAAATCTATGTATTTTTTTTTATGTAAGAGG